AGGCTGTGCTGTGCAGGTGGACGCAGAATACAGGGACAGGGGCTCCCCAGTGCAGGCTGGGAAGCTGCCACAGCATCCCATAAAACACAAGGAAAGCGGTCGTGGGATGGGCCTCAGGGCCCAGGCTTCCTCTGGGGAAATCCCTCTACACTAGAAGATCGAGTTAAATAGCCCTCACCACAGCCAGGGGGTGAATCCCAGGTATAATCTAAATAGTTTTTCTGTCTTCAGAAACACAGATGAACCCCAAAATAAGGCAAGGAAGAATATAGTTAGATTTCCATGGCAAGAAACACAAAAGGAAATAAAATGCAAAAAGAAAATACTGCTGAAAGGAACAAAATACATATCCAGTTCAAACTAGACATGCTTCAGTAATCAAGACACGAAACAAGAAGGCTGTTGTGCTTTGAAATAACCTATAACTAAGTGCGATGCAGCATGGTACCCTACCCTGGATCCTTGAATAAATGAAGACATTAGAGGAAATCTCATGAAATCAAATAAAGTGTATAGTTGGCAGTGTCCTGGAGAGTGACCGCCATCGTGTTTTGTTTTGTTTTGTTTTTTCAGCTAAGTGCAACGTTAGCGTGCAAGGGAGCTGGAAGTGTATAGGAACAGCTGTCTCGCTTTCAACTATACTGTAAATTGAAATTTTTTTAAATTCAAACTTAAGCTTTTAAAATTGCTGCACAAGATACTCGGGTAATCTTTCATTTGAAAAGAAAACAGAAGACTAAAAGAGAAAATTGAGAAATGCAGCCTGGACCAGCTAAGGGCCATTGTTGTCCACAGTCAGGTGTCAGGAGCCAGGACATTCTCAGGTCAAATGACTACTAAAATTGTTGAGTATGTCAACAGAATATGATACTCCAGTCAAACAATAACAATAACAATGTTCTAGGCATACCATGTACGAAAAATCACACCACTTTCATGGTGGTACCTTTTAAAGGCAGCATAGTATTTCCACGAATAGATCAAAACATCTTTTCTATGGCCTACTAGAAACACTGGGAGAAACGGAGATAGGCTTCAGTGTTTCCTAGACCTGTGAGAGGGTTTCTATCAACTCAAAAGGTTACCAAGTGAAGGGGGATAGTCTCTGTGTGGTTCCAAAAAGTAAAGCCAGGACCAAGGTTTGAGGTTGTACGTGGATTGAGACAGACAGATGTTGAGGCTCAACTTGAACAATGTGACAGTCTACATTTGAAGGCAAGGTCAAGAGTTCTGGTGACATTGTAGACACACCACAAAGGCTCTACAGCCAGTTTCCCAGCAGACAGCTCCTTTTAGTCATCACTGGTAAGGATAGCTTGCGCATGCTAATGAGATAAGTGGTAGCTAGAGGACTGTCTGATCACTGTGGATACCAACATTAAAAAGATGGCTGATCTCCTCAGTCACACCCCCACACTCAAGCAGGACAGAGGAGCTGAAGGTTGAGTTGCTCATGAGTGTCTAATGATAAAAGTGTGCCTGTGTAATACAGCTGTATTAAAAACCCAAAAGACAGGGTCGAGGTAACTTTCTGAGAGTGAATGTTTGGAGGTATATGGAAGCTGGTGCATTTAAGGGAGTTATAGAGGATCTGAGTCCCTTTGCATACACCTTGCCCTGCAGATCTGCCATTGGAATTCTTTGAAATTCCTTTGTGAAAAATGGCAGATCGCCAGGTGGTGGTGGCAGCACACGCCTTCAATCCCAGCACTGGGGAGGCAGAGGCAGGCAGATCTCTGAGTTTGAGGCCAACCTGATCTACAAAGTGAGTTCCAGGACAGCAGGACTAAACAGAGAAATCCTGTCTTAAAAAGAGAGAGGGAGCGTGGGAGAAGGGAAGGAAGGAAGGAAGGAAGGAAGGAAGGAAGGAAGGAAGGAAGGAAGGAAGGAAGGAAGGAAGGAAGGAAGGAAGAAAGAAAAAATGGCAAATCATAAATGAAACGTTTTCCTGAATTCTATCACAAAATTTAACAAATTAATTGAGCTGCAGGAGGCTGTCCTGGGAACTCCAATTTATAACCAGTTAGTCAGAAACACAGATGACAATCCACAGCTTGTGACTGGCATCTGAAGTGGGGAGGCAGGCTGTATGAGATCTAGCCTTCAATCTAGGAAATACAATATTATCTCCAGACAGACAGTATCAGGATTGAACTGAGTGAGAGCTGGGGGAAAAGCTCCCACACATCTGGAGTCAGTGTTGTATTTAAAGAGGAGTGAGCAGGAAATGCACACTGATGAGTTTCCTTACATCTCCAGCTCCCTTGTGATCCAGGTGCTTACGCAGAAGCTTGGGAACTTCTGGTGGGAATGTGAGCCACATAACCTCCAAGATGCCTGCAATCAATCAATCAATCTCTGGGCTCTAATCACACACACACACACACACACACACACACACACACACACACACACACACACACACACACAGGAGAAAACACTGCAAAAATCATCATGGATTCTTAGTGCCGGAAGGGACAGCAGGAAGTCTCCCTGAACCACCCTCCTCCTCAGATACTGGCAACAGTAGCAGATCTGTTTCCTAAGTACTTGTTGAGTGAAGGATCTTGTGTCCTGTCATCTTAATAATTTTCTGTGTGTATATATGTGTATATGTGGGTGTGGGTGTGTGAGCACAGGTGAAGGTCAGAGGTCAATCTCAAATGTCTCAAGTGTCATTCCTCAAAGCCACCCATCTTGTTTTCTGAAGCATGGCCTCCCAAGGGCCTGGAGCTCACTTAGGTGACTAGACTGGCTTGCCCTTCAGCCCCAGTGATCCACCTATCTTTGCCTCCCAGGGTTGTGATTACAAGCTTGGGCCAACACACCGCTTGTTTGCATGAGTTTGGGAATCAATCTCAGACCCTTCAGGCTTGTACAGCAAATGGTTTACTGATTGAGCTGTCTCTGTAGATCACTTTAATGTTTTTATCAACGACTTTGATGAAGACACAAAAGGTAAGTGGCACAAATCAGGCAGGACATGCCCATGTGGCAGCTAGAGTTCTCTGCGGTGAAAAGTTTTGGCATTATAACATTGGCAGAAAAAAGAAACAATCTAAGCTCCCAATTTGATTGCAATTGTATGAGATGGGGCCTTTTTGATGGAATTACATGTAAGGCTATAGGTGACGATAAAGTCAGTGGGGTCCCCAAAAGACACACTCTGTATTAATAAGGCATATAACATGCAGTTATGAGCTTTTCCCATTTATCAGAGGGCAAAGTTTCCAGGCTAATTTTAAATGATGTACTTTAGGAGATCCCTGACAGGAGAGAGAGAGAACACAAGAGAACAGCAAGCACACTGAGGAGAATAATTAACTTTAAAATGACCTAAGGAAACACCGCACTGAGAAAAGAAGACTAAGAAAGATACGCCAGTCATATCAAGGTTGTAGATTTAGTGTTGAGGGTGAAATGGCAGGGCCATGGCTTAAGGTAGGGCACAGCTGTGTCCAGCAAGGCTGCAGACCGGCCTGCCTCGATGAGGAATGAGCCGATGGCTTGTCCCTGCATTGAGGACTACCAGGCATATCTACAGATTTCTGACACTGACTGATCAAAGTCAGGCATTATCAGGCTGCTGCACACTTCACTCTTTCTCTCTTCCCCCTGTTTTTCTAGTTTTATTTTTGGAATGTGTGTATGCAGGCATGCGTGCCTCTGTGTGTGTGTGTGTGTGTGTGTGTGTGTGTGTGTGTGTGTGTGTGGTGCGCGCGCACACGCACGCTCGCTGTGTCTGTGTGTGGGTGGTATCCATGTAACTTTGCTCATTGGCACCATGGTTTCACTTTCTTACCAGCCTGTAATGTTTGAGAGTGTATAGATACATGTGCACATAGGCCCAAGTGCACGTGGGTGCCCAGGGTTGATTCTAAGAATTATCCTTTATCACTCCTCTATCTTATTCACTGACCAGGGTTTTTAATCAAACCTAGAGCTCACTATATGGTTAGTAATGCAAGCTTGCTCTGGAGACCCTGTCTCTATCTTCTGAGGCTATAATTACAGGTGGGCCACTGTACCCACCCAGCATTTACATGGGTGTTGAGATCCAAACTCTGTCCCTTACACTTGTGTGGCAAGCACTTTAACCCATGAGCCATCTGCTAAGTACAGTACAGGCTGAGAATAAAATAAGACCATGGTCAAAACGAGCCAAGTCCCATGGACACCACCCATGGCTTCTCACAGACTCTTGGGAGTCTGAAGACAAACTCTGCCCGCCCCGTGGAGCTATCCGCCCTGGAAAGCTGACCCACTGAAACGTGCTCTGTAAAATCTCTGCACCTCCTCTGCGTCTCCTACCTCTTACTTCCCCTGAAGCCATGATGGGGTGAAGGCTGGAGCGTGAGGAAGAGAAAGAGCAAAAATATGGTAGTTCCTTTATGACACAAATCATCGAACCTCAGGCAGGTCCCAGCACTTCTGTCGGGGAGGTGACTGACAGCTGGTGCAATTCCCCATCTCCGTGGATAATAGTGTATTTCTACAAATTTTGGGAACCTGGTTAGCAAGGCTTTGAGCTGCATAAAGTGCAATTCCTCACTCTACGGGCTTGAGCTTATAAACTGCCGGAGCCAATGGGATATTAGCAGATGTGGTGCCAGCAGATGATTGAAGTGTGCTTGTGCAGTGGGGCATGCTTCCCTTCCGTGCTCTTTTGTGATTGGCAGGTGATTGGCAGCCACTGCTCCTCTAACCTGAACCCCAGAGTAAATCACAGAAGACCTGAACCTGACCTAACCCTGGAGCTAAACTCAATGGAGGTCAAAAGACTCCAGCCTGAAGCTAAACCTTCCAGTTAACCCAGAGACGCCTTGGTTGTATGCCCTGGAAGTTAGGTACGATTTGTTACGCACCATTATCATTACAATAGCTCACTACGAAGAGCCCTTTCTGAGCTTAAAAAGAAAGCTGTTGAAATGCAGAGGACTGCTTTGCCAAGGAGCTAGGCTGCCTCCCACCCACCCCCTGCTCACCGCAGTAGCACTCACCTGAGTCTGAGGCTGCTGGGCTCACCAGGCTCAGCAGCTCCCGCTCCTTCTCATAGTCTCCTTTGCAGAGCAGCTGGCCCTCCTTCAGGACAAACTCATCACCCTTCTGCAGCTGCCGCTCACAGACACAGCAGCAGAAGCAGCTCAGGTGGTACACGCTCTTCTGGGCGCGCATGACAAACTCATTGGGTGCAATGGCTTCGAAGCAGCCCCCACATTTGACCGCAAACAGTCTGCAGGCAGGAGAGAAAGAAAAGCAGTGAGTGGAAGGCTGGGTCTGGACCTAGGTTTCCCCTCCCATCAACAGCCAGAAGACCTTCAAGCTCTGGGACAGGAATGTTTGTACTGAAGCAGACTTCAGATACGGGGTAATCCACATCTTTCTGGTCCCCCTAGATCCATGGCAACTCACGCTGACTAATGGAAGTCCCAAAATGTAAAGATCTATTATTTTTTTTCCACTTCTGTATGGTCCGATGGGATCATAATTGCATTTGTAAGTGCTTTGGAGTAGGCACGAAGATAATCAGCTAATGATGATTGTGGGATTCATTCATTATAGCATTCATTGACTATTTTCAAAAGAAAGAGTTTCCTTTTTTAAAAATAGTAACACAATTGTGGGGCAGAAGGAGTCTTTCCAAAACATTCTCTGTTTGTTCCTGAATTCCAGAGGATCTGATAGCTACAGGAAGGTCAGATGACTTGAGAGACAGAGACAGAGAGAGAGAGAGAGAGAGAGAGAGAGAGAGAGAGAGAGAGAGAGAGAGAGAGAGAGAGAGAGAGAGCAGCAAAGTGGGGGGCGGGGGTCAGCATCAAACAGGGCTGCCCCTCTCACCACAAAGACAGACACGTATATTAGGAAGCAGATGCCAATTTGTTCTGCTAATAAGTCCTACTTTGGCAGGAATGATGGAAACATAAACAACGGAAGAGTGTTTTCCTGTAGACAAGCCAACTAACTACCACATTGGCCTAAATGTGCCAATCCTATCTCTTTGCTTGTTCATACGTCAATCACTTATTCTTCTTTTCATTCACTTACGTTCATTAAATCAGAAGCATCTGCTGCATGCCTTGTGGTACTGTATCCACTCTGCATCTCAACAGAGAGGGGAGAAAGAGAAACCCACACCCCAACTGTATCTACATATGGAGTCTAATGTAGAGTGTGTGTGTGGGGGGGGGGGGATTGCTGCCGACACAACAGTACACAGGACAAATCCTCCATTGTATGGCGCTCATATGCTTGTGGGAGAACATACAACATAAGACTAGGAAGATGGCTCGGTGGATCAAGGTCCTTGTCTGCACACCTGACAACCTGAGTTCAAACCCCCGAAGCCCACTTAAAAGATATAAGGAGAAAGCTGACTTCCTGTTTTTTTTTTTTTTTTTTTTTTTTTTTTTTTTTTTTTTTTTTTTTTTTTTGGTTTTTCGAGACAGGGTTTCTCTGTGTAGCTTTGCGCCTCTCCTGGAACTCACTTGGTAGCCCAGGTCAGCCTCGAACTCACAGAGATCCGCCTGGCTCTGCCTCCTCCCGAGTGCTGGGATTAAAGGCGTGCGCCACCACCGCCCGGCCGAAAGCTGACTTCCTAAAGTTGACCTCTACCAACCACAGGTGTGCCACAGTGGCACTAAAAATTTAAAAAAGAATAATGCAGCGGTGCCCCCATGACTACAAAATATTCCAACACAGAGCTGTAGGTCATACGAGGAATTACAATATTCAATCACTTCCCAATCATAAAATTGTACTCATTTGGTTATAAGGCAATACCCTCACATAGCATGTGTATCTTGGAAGCTTCCTGAAGAAGGGAAGGGCCGGGAGGTGGAGTGAAGAGGAAGCTTTGGAAGAGTTCCCAATGAAGCACGACACACAGATTGGCCCAGGAGAGAGGAGAGACATTTAAGCTTTGAGTGGAGGAAGCCAACACTTGAAAAAGAGAATGAGGTCACCTGCCATGAATCCCGGAACCACAGCCTTAGGACAGGGCCCAATCTTCAGGAGAAAAGTTGAGGACCAATCCAAATGGCTGGTGCTGCGCTTTCACCGCTAATAAACTCCACACCCAGAACTCCAGGAACCAGAAGCCCTTTCCCTTCCCCCTCCCTTCCTCCAGCTGCTCATTGTGGTTTTCCTGACTCTTCCTGGAGACCCTCCAATATTTTCTTTCACACCCTCTCCTCTTGCTAGATGCCACGTGGTGTGCAGAAAATCTACCTAGTTCATCCCTTGGCCTCCCAAGTCCCTGGTCTCTGTTTGCCAACCTGAGCAAACCAATCAATTCTTGTCCAGGAGCCCGTCAAAGGCCTTTTGTCCCCAAGCCTTGCTTCTCTTCCCCATGCCCTGAAATGGACTGTTGAACAGACTCAAGGCAAATGTTCCCAGGGAGTCAACAAACACTTCAGAGGCTGCAGCAGCGGGTGGCAGCATCTGTGCTTTTTGGATCCCTAACCTGTTCATCTCTTCCTCTTTTTTCTGCCCCTTACTCCACCCCCCATCAATATATCTCCCCCACCCCCCCATCCCCGTGTTAGAGAAGGGAGGGCCAGAGTGAGCTGAACAAAGACAGTCGGCCATGTTGACTCATGAGCGTAGAGGTGGAAGTGGTAGAAGTTGGGTGGGCTCAAATCCTGAAGTGGTCGTGTTCCCCTGACGATTACAGGCCAGGAGAGGCAGGCAGGCCTGATTCCTTCCATTCTCCCTCCCTGGATCCGAACCAGGTCAACTGTACCTCATTCCCTCATCTCTTGTAACCTTTGGGAGCAATTCAAGAAGAGGAGCATGCCATCTACCACCTGGGTGCCAGATGTGTACACAGCTGTACGGGTACCACTGTGGACCCAGCTGCTGATGGCACAGCCTCCCATACATAAGTTGTTTTCTCTAAGGCTCAGAGAAGCAGAGAAAAGGATTTGTTCAGAAGTCCAGGTCATAATTAAAACACAGCCTGTCTCTTCCTAGTGCTTGAGATGTGTCCCCCATGGTTACTTCCCCCTCTGAATGCTAATGAGACCGCACTCTGGCTTCAGAGTCTGGCAGGCTGCTGTGCCTGGAAAAGCTGGGCAATGTTTCCAGAACTGTCAGCTTACCTATGTAGACACAAGAATATCCAACTTTTCTCACCATCCTAAGTCACACCCCCTCTCTGATGCTTTTGGGCTCATCCCTTATCTCGTCCCCCGTATCTCATTCTCACTTGTATAGTGGAAATGGAGCACCTTCCTCATTAAAAAGCAATATGGTCCCAGGCAGTAAGCCCTTGGTGTTCCCCTCCATCTACAGATGGCTCTCTGTGAGGAAAGGTAAGGAGGGATGTCGTAACTAATGAATCTACCTTTGTCCTTAGGAAGATACAGTGGGCAGGAGGCTTGTGCTGGGTAGGTTTGTGTCAACACAGCAAACTATCTCAGTGAAGGGATATGCTTCCATAAGGTCGGTCTGTGGGCCAGCATGTAGAACATTTTCTCAACTAGTGATTGATAGGGGAAGGCCCAGCCCACTGCGGATGGTGCCTCCCTTGGGCTGCTTGTCCTGAGTTCTATAAGAAAGCAAGCCATGGGGAGCAAGCCAGTAAGAAGCATCCCTCACGGCCTCTGCATCAGTTCCTGCTTCCAGGTTCCTGCCCTGTTTGAGTTCCTGTCCTGACTTCCTTCAATGATAAATAGCAATATGGAAGTGTAAGCCAAATAAACCCTTCCCTCCCCAACTTGATTTTTTTGTTATGGTGTTTCATCGCAGCAATGGAAACCCTAACTAAGGCGAAGCTCTAAGTCAGTGGTGCTCAACATTCCTAATGCTGCAACCCTTTAATACTTCTTCATGTTGTGGTGACCCCCAATCATAAAATTATCTTCATTGTTACTTCATAATTGTAATGTTGCTACTGTTATAACTGTAAAGTAAATACCTGATATGCAAGATACCTGATATGCGACCCCTGTGAAAGGGTCATTCGACCCCAAAGGGGGCTACGATCCAGAGGTTGAGAACCACTGCTCTACATGAATGGCCACAACTGGATGTGGTTGGGACATGTACAGAGAAGGGCACAAACAATTGAATGAGTTTATTAGTCACAGAATCTTTTATCCTTTTCCTTCCTCACTCTCCCTCTGGCTGTCTCCCCCACCCCTGTGCTTTTCCAGGCAGGGAAGTACAGACTGGCTGTAACTCCATTCCATGCCCTGCTTGTATCTTCTTGTACGGCCAAAAGCTACACGAGGCACAACTGTGAGTCTGGCTGAAAGTCTACTCCACAGGCTCTACCACATCCTAGTGATGTGACTGACTTACCACTGACTCCTGCAGCCTCGGTTTGCACAGAGGATAAAAGCAAGCATGATGCCTCCATCCCTCAGAAAATTAAATAAGAATGCATGCATGGAGTACTTTATTACCTTTGATGCACAGGTGACTCCTAGCCACTTTTATTGGCCATGTGTCTGCCTTTTATGCATGTAGATATTTCCTTCTTGCCCCAAAGGTGAGTTTTCATGTTTAAGGGCTTCCAGAGCCCCATCCTAAAGCAGCCCTTCTTCTAGTTCAAGCTCTTCCTTCCCCTGGCTCCTAGCTTTGACTTCATTTCTGTCCGTGGTGTGCCAGGGGGAGCATGTTCCTCATACCCACCAGTGGCCCTATCATTGACCAAGTTCATCCACATAGAGCTCAATTTCTTGTTGCTGACTTCATCTCTGTATCCTGTGCTTGGAGCTACAGCAGAAATCCAAGGGGAAAAGAGCATCTTAACCCAGGGAAAGAGCCAGGTAGACCTAAGCTCGGGATTTTAACACTACCAACGGGCTCCAAGAAGCCACTCCCGTCTCTGGACCTTGAGTTTCTTGTCTCCTTTCTTAATGGTAAGTTTTACCCTAAACACCACATAACGCCAAACGCTTAGAGGTTGGGGGAAGTAGGAGAGTAAGTCCCGATCCTCCATGGCTTCTCACTGTACAGTTCTCACAGAGAAGCCTGTGTCGAAATCCTAATCTCCAGACAGTGCTTCAATAGGGTACTTCTTGGCCATGGTAATCCTTCAAAAAATATCTTTTTATACAGTATCATTTACACACATGCACACCGTGGGAGCACACATACACACACAGCCGTTAAGGCAAAAGCATATACCCTAGATAAGTACATTCTAGTCTGCATATATTATGCAACCTATGTATTTAAAAATACTAAGACTGTATGTATTATATAGCCTAGAAAAAATGTCTTCTG